ATGATGTCATGCTTATCCAAAGGCCAGCCCCCTGCTCCTCCTTAAGCTGTTCTGGAGTCACTGGTTGGTGACTATGGCAGTTATTACCTTTCATGTCATTAAAATGCCTGAACAGAAATTACTTGTTTAGAGGTAGCTGCCTGTCTCCCCACAGCTTGGTGCTCAGGCTCAGTCAGGAAAGCCATTCTTTCCCTTCCTCTGTGGTTTCCCGGATCCAGGCTTTCCATCTGCCCCTCTAATATTGTTCCATAGGATCCCTTGATTCTCTCTTCACCACCTTGGGAGGCAGAAGATATGATAAGGAACAGCCATAACCAGTGTGCCTGTATGGAAGGAATGGAAGAGAATGGTGAAGTCCAAGTCCACAACCTGACCAAAAGACTTGAGGACACTTCACTCCCCCAAGCATTGTACTGCCTTGTGAAACAGGTCAGCCCAAAGGGCTACTCATCCCTCAGGGTTTCATCTGTGGGCTTGTTCCTCTGGGCACTTTTCCTTTCTCTGAGGTGAACTGCCCATAGCACAGTGGCTCTACAGCCTGATGAGGCTTTTGGGTATGGCTGCGTGGAACTGAAAGCCCGTTTTCTGGCTGCGGGGCTGGAATAGGAACGACTGTTTGTTAGTGGCAATCCAGCTCCTGGTGAACGCTGCAAGACCACCACTGGGAGAAAAAACAAGCAGTGTGGAAATTACGATTTTCCACACTTCTGGTCTCTGAGTACCCTAAAGGTGCTCCTTGAGAGATGTGACACAAAGGCCTTTACATGTAATACATTCCAGTTTTGTTGCTGTAACACAAAGCCCAAGCCACATCTCACCACATCTCATCACCCATTGACTTTGCCTGTATTTGGGACATGGGATGAGGAGATCTTAGGGGAAATAGGATTTGATTCCTTGAGAGAAAGACAAAACCAGTGTGTCACATTCCTCCTCTTCTGTTCCTCTCAGTGGCACGCATGGACAAGAGGGGAATGCCCTTTAGAATATCACCATTTCCTGTTACTCCAGTACCTCCCACATGAGAAGCAGGAAAAGGCACAGAGCATTGAAGCAGTTCATCATTTCATCCTCCCTCTCCTTGCAGCTCAAAAGCACAATTGCATCTGTCGCAGCCAGCGTGGGGCTAGGAGGGCTATCTTGGGCAAGGTGTTGTGCCCTATGGTCTGGAGCAGGCTGCGGTGGAAGGGGCATGGCCTCTGCCTGCACCTGTGCACACATCCGTGAGCACAAACACAAACATGCACGTACACAGTGGGGTAACACAGAGGGGGTCAAGCACTTGGCTCCATTCAAATGCTTACCCTGGAGCCAGCCCAAGGACAACACACGTCCGCAGGTACCAGGGTCCCTTCCCTCAGCCATGGTCTCCCCAGGTGGGACCTTAACTCTAAGGGGAAACTTGTGCTATTGCTTTCATGTTTTAAGGATGAGGGTGTCAGTACATTTCCCCAGAAAGGATCCCCCCTTTCTTCCTGCTCTTCACACCCATTTCACAGGCAGCAGGTTCCTTCATCAGAGATGCTCAGTGTCCAGCGGCTGCTGAAAAGGATTGCTTGGGGTTCTTTTTTCCCCTTTGGTCTTGGAAGGGATGCTGGCAGCCTGGTGCAGGATCTCTCCCCCCTCCCGTACCTCAGCCCCTGTGCGGGGGGAGGAAGAGCGTGGGTAGTGGAAGGAGTTGTGGTCCCAGATGTGCGAGTGGTTGCAGGGTAGAAACAGCACACCCCGGACAAACAGCAGTGCGGCTCAGCTGAGAGCCAGCGCTTCGGGCTTGCGTCACTGACCTTTTCCTCTCGCCCTCCTCAGTCCTCATCTGACCCTCCCACCACTTCCCCTGCACTTTGCACTGAGAGGTCTCCCTCTCCGTGCATTGCAGTGGAGGGCTGGCACAGGAATGTAAAAGGGAGGAGTGGAAAAACAAGCCCAGAACAGCCCTGCAGCAAAGAGAAGGCAACACATTAATCCTCTATCCGTTTCCCCAGAGCTCAGGTTGCCACCTTGAAGAACAAGATGGTCAGGGGCTGAGCCAAGGCACCGCTGCCTGGTCTAGCCATCGCGATGGCAGCATAGCTGTTCTGCCTCCACAGTTGGCGGGGCTGGGGTAAAGGGTGAGAAGCAAGCTTGTCCCAGGGTCAGGGGTGTGCTTCAGACTCTGGCATATTTTGAACAAATGAAATTTAGAAACACAAAGAACATTTCAAAGCCTTGTGGGACCAAGGCTGAAACATGGTGCAACTGTAAAAGCCTGTGTAAGTCTTCTGAAGACTTTGTATGGGGACAAAAATAAAACCATCTCTGTAATGGAGAATACCGTGAGCCCAGAAAAGTATGTGTGGGGCAAACAAGAGAATTCAGTGAGCCTCAGGCACCCCATGGAAGATGCTTTGCCCACATCTTGCTCTAGGACATGTTGTGCCAAACACCTGGAGGTAGTCAGGAGCAGGGACCAGAACAGTGAAGATGAAGCCTGCAGGATGTGTGTCAGACAGGAGACCTGCTCTTCTTCCTCACCGTGGTCATTCACTTCCTCTGGCTACTTCAGAGCATTGCAACTGTCCTCAGTAGCATCCAGTGAGGCTTGGTCACACTTCCCGCCTCAGAGGTGCTCTCCAGCTTGCATTGTCTGGGCTCCCTGGCAGACAAGGCACCTCAGGAGCTTTCAGGTGAATGCAGGTCAGCATCTCGAAGGCATGGATGCGAGTAGGTTAAATGAATCAAGAAACAGCCCAGTCTCACAGCTCCCACTCACCCACAGCTGGATTCCCAGCCTTCCCAGGTGGATGGGGACCCCCCTGCTCCCTAGCTTACCCAACCCAAGAGTTCTTGGGAAAAGTGTGAGATTTTGCAATAATGCCCTGGTTATTTGTGAGTTAAGTGACATGAACTCAAGCGACAGGATGGTCTGTGGGTTGATAAACTGTCAGAAGCCTTTGACTTAAACCTTCTGCCCTAGCAGTCACTGTGATACAACTCCATGGAGAGAGATCACAGAGGGCTTGTGGGACAAGGGGGAGGCACGTCAGGAGGTGACGGAGCAGCGCGTGTACCAAAGAATCCTGGAGCATCAGCCCCCCTCTACCCACCTCCTGATAGCATCTTCAGAGCGAGCCAGGCTTGCAAAGGGCAACAGTTTCCATTGGCAGGAAGGTGAGAGATGTCCATATGGGGCTCGTATGTGCATGGGTACACGTGTGGGTGTCACAGCAGGGCGCACACTGAGCTGCCCTCTGAAGCCCACCATGGCTAAGCAAGAGCTCATTTCACCACTGGTCAGAGGTGGGCCATGCCATGTGAGGCAGTAGAACGACTGACCTCAGCAATGCAGCTCTGCCCCATCACCCACGCAGCCACAGGCACGGTTCACATCCAGCCCTTTGGGCCCAGCAGCAGCTCCCAGCCAGCAATGGGAAAGGGAAGGTGAGAAAAACAGGAGATCTGGGGCAGGACCAACCCACTGCTGGCATCTGGCTGCGATGCACTGCATGGAGGGAGGCAGGGGCTCTGCTTGCAGCACTGGACGATGCTGGCTTGGACGTTGTATCACCCCTTTCTCCCTCCACAGACTCTGTGAGATAAACAAGGCTGAAGTGTGAGTGAAGCAGGTTGTCCGGGTGGTCTGGGAGGGGAGAAGCGACAGCAGGCTGGAGCAGAGAGGAAACGTGATGTGTTTCAGTCTGGTGGCCACCTGAATGATGCACAAATGCCTGATGTGGGGCAGACTCTGCACCATCATGATGCTCAAGGTGCTGCCAGAGACTTTTCCCATGGCTTCCCCACTTGTGACAGAGAGTCAAGGGAGATACAGAGCTAGGTCCAGCTGTGCTGAGCCCCTGCCCTCCCTGGTCCTTTGGGTGCAGTGCTTATCTAAGTGCCCCCAGCAAAGTCAAAGGTCTCCTCTTCTTGCCCTGCTTCTCTCTTCCCATTTTCCACAGCTATTACATGGCAAGGAGCTATTGCAGGGCCTTCAGCTTCTCCTGAGCTGGACTTGACATGTGCTTTCTTCCCCAGAGATAGCACCATATCCTGCCCTTTACCTCCTCTCTCCAACTCTCCCCCCTCCTTTCATACCTGCAAGACCACAAACCGGCAGGAAACCAGTTTAAAGGGCCATCCCTTTGGCAGATACCTTCAACAAGCCTGAGACATGGCCACAGAGTCCTTTGCAGCAGAGCTTCACCCTGGCAGGGTAAAAGAGAGGAATGGCCCCAGGAGCAGAGCTGTATCTGCCCATGCCAGGTCATGCTTCCTGCTCTCAGCCCATGAGAGAGGTCCTGACTGTCACCAGCCCCAGGCTCACATACCACAGGGCAGCACCATTGCATGGAAAACAGACCGGACCTGGGTGAATGGAGATCTCATGGCTTTCAGGGCATGGCTGCACCCACTGGCAGGGCAGCAGGGCAGGTCTGACCCCTTGCTCCTTCTACACCATTGCAGAGTCCACCTTGCCTTACCTGAGCCTGACCTACAGCAATTCCCTGGTAGGCATTCATAGTGTGATTGGTGGCCCTGGTTACAGACCCCACCTGTTACTGCGCATCTTAGCCCCAAAGGATTTGGCTGAAGAAGCTTTTCAGGTGGTGCTTTTTTCTCAAAGTGGGTAGCTTGAAAGAGTGAATCATAGAAGTCTTTTCTAGAAGGTCTGGCTACATGTTGCCTCTCCTCCCTCCTTCCTCACCTTTTGTAAGTATGATAAAGTCACATCCAATCTACCAGCATCTCACCTCAAGGGGCCAGGGACGTGCACAAGCACAACCCCTGCACTTCCTGAAGACACATTTCTACCTGTTTTCTCAGAAGTAAACAAAAACTGTGAAGAAGGCTGAGCTCTGACCTGACGAGTATTGCATTTACTTGATATATATAGCCCTAGCTCTGGACTAATTATGTTTTCCACCCCTTGCCAAACAAAGCATCTGGTACATGTCAAACCACAGGAGAAGCTATGTGAAGATGATTTAAACTCAAAACAGAAGGTCCTATATGGGCTTCTCCGCTTGTTTTCTTGTCCACTTCTCCACTTCAGCGGGAGTCTCCTCAGTTCAAACCCCAAATAAAAGAGAAACACCACAGGGAAAACAGAAAGCACTCACACATACAAAGTTCTTGATAGAAGGATGTGGTGAAAATGTCACAAGAGTCCGATACCCCTTAAGGGAACCCCAGCATTAGCCAAGTCTTCCTCAGTATAATTAATTTTTTGAACCCTAATCCTATAAACCATTGTATTGTCCTGTTTTTTTTTTGGTAATTTCCAAAGAATCCTTCCTTGAATTTGTTTAAAGTTTTCCCAGCAAAGAGGAAATTACCCTAAATATCTTTAGGGTAATGGTTCTCCACAAAGTAAACAGAATATTGCCAAGGATTGCCATGGGAAGTTTCAGAACTGAGTTAGACTTTGTACGTATCTCTTTCAGGTCACTGTCTTTTCCATCACACTGTTTGGTGATAACCAGAGATAGAAGGAATAGGCTGGGAGGAAAAAACAGATGTAAGTGCAAAACAAACAGCAAAAAAAGTTTAATATCACTGAAAAAAAAATATATACAAAAGTTCTTGGAGTTTGTTTGGTTTTGTAACATAAAGCACCATTAATTCCACAGTACATTACAACTCAGCCTACTACACCTTCCAGAAAGCACCCAATACTCCTGAAATCTGATTTAGCACCAAGGGTTTGCCATCTTGTTTAGCACCAAGAAGCCTGTTAAACACACCCTTTGGTCCCCCTGCCCTCCTCTCTCATGTGCAGCAGGCACTATCTGGCTGCTTATGAGACCTGTCACTGGCATTCAAACACCAAAGAGAAAAGGAGGAAGAAGGAAGCTTGTTTCTGGAGATATTGTGTCTTAGAGAGGCTTTTTTCTCTCCAGGGAGACACAGGGGCACTATACTCTGTAAATAGACAATACCTGGGTTTGCAGCCAGTTGAGGAAGAGAAAAAGGGATTTGGACCTGAGCATCTCCTCCAGCATGCTGCTTTCAGGCATGCTATGGCCTGAAATCCTGCCTCTGAGCAATTCCACGTGCTTGACCTACTAAGGGAGGGGAAGAAACTCACAGCCTCCTTTCATTCCCATGATCCCATCATCACATGTTTTCCTGGGAAAAACCCAGCTTTGCCTCAGTGAAACCTTGCTGTTATACCTACTGCCTCAAGTGACAGTGGTGGGGAGGATCCAGGGCAGAAAGTGCCTGAAATTCATTCCAGTCTATACAGCTTCCTTAGCAAAGCAGGGAGGGTAAGAGAGAAAACGTCCGGAAATTTTCTCAAGTTCATTTTTAACATTTAGCCTGGGTACTTCTGCCTTTGCCAGCCTGGGCTGAGTGTACTGGACCTGGTCCTGTAAAACAATGCGTATCTCCTATGGGAGAGCTCTGGAAGTCCCAGGCACAGATTACAGCTAATCATGAGACTGCAGAAGCTAGATGAGTCAAAAGACTTCATTAGCAGTGGTGGGCAGTGGAGAAATAGTTTCTCCTGCTTGTCCTGTATTGAGACTCAAAAAAGAGACAACCCTCGGCATTGATGTTTACGGAGCACCACAAAGCGTGGATATAGGTTTCCCAAAGTGCTGAGTCAGCCTCACCTGCTCCTCCCAGGATAACAGCAATCCCAGAGGGATGTGAGACCAGTAAAAATGGTACTAGAAAAACCTACCGCTGACATTCCTTTCCTACTGTGATATTTACAACCTGATGAAAAGAGGGAAAGTTTGTTTTAGCCACATGCTTTTCTCAGTTGCTCTGATGAGGTTGCCAGTAAAGGGCACAGACCAAATGGCAGGGAAGCTTTTTCACCCTGGGGGTGAGGTGCTGTAGTCTCACCTCTATCTCTTTTCCATCACAGAGGCAAAGAAGTGCCAACCTGACCAGCTGTGGAACTGATTTAACAGTGATTACCCCTACAGCCTCCAGCTCAAGCTCTGAAACAACGGTCCCTCAATACCAGTGTGGGAGAACCACCTTCAGGAGGACACTGTAATAGCATGCAGGAGGCACCGGCAAACCTCGGGGTGACTGGTGATACCAGTAGAAGGCCATGGGGGCACATCTGCCAAAGACAAGATTCAAGTTCATTGTCTGGACTAGCTTCCCACAGCTGGGGAATTGAGAGCGAATAGCACCCCACGGGAGGTTTAGAAGGGAAGTATGGTAGGGTTGTCTCTTTTGTTCTGTACTTATGATCCCTAGTGGAAATAGAGTGGTGGACTATACTGACTCAATGCAGATGCCTCTGAAGCATCTGGCTGAGTGTCTGACCCTTCATCTCTCCAAAGAGCCAGAGCTGTCACAGAGGAGTACAATCCCACCAGGCCCAGATTTTACAGCCAGCCTGGACACTGTGACCCAGCAGGGTGTCTAAGGAAAGCCAATGCCATACTTCAGAAGGCCATCAGTCCCCTTTTTAGAAAGACAGTACCATCTCTCACCAGTCCCACATCTTCCTTGTGCTACAGGAGGTCAGCAGAACCCAGTCCATGCTCCAGTCTATAGGTGTGAGAGGTGACATTAAAGCTGTGTTGCAGGCTGCAAAACTGGCCTGTCTAGTTAGGATGGAGAGAAGCCAGGATGAACCCGGCAGTGGGGACTTTCTAGCCCTTTCTACAGCAGCCTTTTGTGTATAAAGCTCCAAGGAGGGATGCATCCCCAAGAGCAGCACCATAGCTTTCCTCCTGCTCTAGGACCCAGAATGCCAGACACAGCTCACTGGCAGATTTAGAAGAAGCCAATAACCAAAGCTGGGGTCATGAGGGAGGGGGCAAGAGATGGTAGTGTCACACTGTAAGTGGACAGATACAGGCCTGACTACAAGAGAGCGTGAGGCGGGAGCCAGTGCGGCAAATTTCACACTCAGTGCCTGAGACTTGAAAGGCCCGTTTCTAAGTGATTTGCAGTGGTTGCGGGCAGTAATGAGAGAGAGAGAGAGAGAGGAAGAAGGAAAAGGCCAAAGAGGCCCCAAGGAGGAGGAGAGGCAGTTACTCAATGCTGGGCTTGACCAGGTACCCATTGAAGGTGATGTACACATCAACATCATCACTGTAAATGGCATTCTCCCGCTCCCGCTTGTAGAGCCTCACCCAGATCTCATCATTTTCCTGAAGCTCTAGCATGAGGCTCTGGCTCTGCATGATGCTGCGGTCACTGGGCTGGGCATACAAGATGACTGCCTCTTCTTCATTGTGCATGATGTGCATGTAGGTCTCCTTGAAGTTCCAGGTGTGGACGTTGAGGCTGAAATAGTAAAGTCCACCTACATAGCAGTAGAATTTGCCATTGAACATGTCAAAGTGGCTGTAGAGGTTGACGAAGACAGTGTCGAAGATCAAGACCTGGTAGCCCTCGCTGCTGTGCAGCGCTTTCTTGCGACCAACAGAGAATGCAGCATACTGATGCTTGCAGGGATCTCCTGCTATGCCCATCTGTCCTTTACTGCCTTTCTGGCCCTGGGCTCCCCTCTCACCTCGTGGTCCTTCTTTGCCCCATTTCCCTGGCATCCCAGGCTCTCCCCGATCTCCCTTTTCTCCTGCAAGAGAAAGCAGAGGACACAACTCCTGTGTGATACCATAGGGAGAGGTGGAAGTGGTGGCGAGAAAGCCTAATGTGGAGGCAGAGGATTGCTCCATAATGGGGCAATGCCAGAAAAAGGAACACTCCTGAGGTTCACAGTATCATTGTTCTTCATGGGAAAGGAGCTAACAAAGATCTGGGTGCAGCTGGGGTTTCTTCTTTTATGACACCCCCCCCCCCCCGCTCACCACATGATATGGCCTTGCTGGAGACAGGAGAACCTGTCCCTAAGATACTTCAGTCTGAGAGGGAGCCCAGCAGTACAAAGTACTACTGTGGCTTTTGACCTCTTCTTTGCCCTCCGCACTCCTTTATCTCCAGGAGGATGCTGCAATAGCATACAGGAGGCAGGGACTGACTCTGCCTTGCTACACACCTCCCCTATGGCCCAATTACCCATGTAGTGTGCACACTGTTGTTGCTGTAGGCTGGAGAAGGGGAAGAAGTGCTAAAGCCTCTGGGAGAATATGACTCAAGAGGAACAATGAGGTGGGTCAGAGGAAAAAGATGCAAGCTGGACTTGGTGATTGTGCAGTGCAAATTAGAGGGGTGGTACTTTGACAATACCAGCATCCTTTGGGCATCCTGTATAATTAATACTGCAGTTCTCTCCTGGGGTTTGGACAGGCATCAATACAGAGAGAAAGCAGCACCAGAATGCACTTTGTGTATAGAGAGAAGAGATGGGAGTCAGGGAGAAGCCTCCAGCACAAGTGACAGCATCTCAGATTTGTGTCCTGCTCTTTTCCTCCTCTCCATTCCCTGCATGGTAATGCAGGTCGCCCTGCAACACACTGCTCTGGCCCAGGCTTCTATCTGCCCCAGTTCTGAGCCTTGATGAACTGCAGCTATTTCTAGGCTGGGCAGGGAAGGGGAGCATCTGCCCAGCTAGCCCAGAGGAACCACAGAGCAACAATAAGTGAATGCAGCAGCATCCAGCTGGGAACAAGCTTTTGCCCACAGCAAAGGCTAAAAGGGGAGCCCTGAAGGGAGGAGCTGATCTAAAATAGGGAGCCTTTTCCCATTAGCCAAGCCATCCAAAGCAGGGTGGAATGAGCCGGGGGTTGCTGCCAGTTAGCCTGAAGGTGCTTACAAATAGCTGTTCCCTCCCTTTGCCCTCTTCCTGCTCCAAAATGCATGTGATCCATGGAGCTGGAGAAGGTTTTCCCACAGCCTTCTCAGGTGCCAGTGCCTACCCTCCAAACATGCTTATTTTGCAGCTGGATAGAGACTTCTCTTTCCCTTAGGCACTATGGGACTCTGGAAGTCTGAAACAAGGAAGGTATCCTCCCATCTTGGCAAGTGACTGCCACTGCCTCTCCTGTGCTAGGAGGCAGGAAGAGCTAGTAGCAGGCAGCATCCTGAGACACAGAAGTCACAGCATGGATGCAATGACTTCCCTTTGCTCAGGCTACTCTTGGTCACAGCACAAGACATCCCAGGGCCAAGATGGGCACTTACCCTTCAGTATGGTGATGTTGATATAGGGACGGACCTCCGGCATTGGGTAAGGCAAGTGATGGTGGCTTGGGGGGAGCCGTGGGGCATCTGTGGAAGAGTCCAGTGGGTCACAACAGCGTTTGCAAGCACCAGAGGCTGGTTCTGTGAGGTTGGGCTCATCAGTGGGTGCCCCAAGCACAAGAGGGAGAAGTAGGAGGGTCAGGGGTGTGCGCAGGTAAATTGTGTCCATGGTGACCTGGGAAGATATGAGGAAGTGCCAGAGGTGTAAGAAGGGGAGGACACGGGCAATGGAGTAGAAATCACCACAAATCCTCTTCCTGTGGCTGAAAATGGCATGGTCCTGTGGAGGGAGTTCACATGCTTGAATCCCTGAAGGCTCAAGGATGCAATGTAAGTGATAACCGCATGGCCCAAGAGGATGTCCTTCTGCCCAGACCAATGGAGACTAGGTGCCCTTGCAGAAGGCTTGGCCCTCACTAGCCAAACCACAGGAGCCACTAGAAGGTTCAGTCTCCAGGGTGAGATACAGGAAGAAGACATGGCAAACCACACCCTCCCTTTTGCAAAAGCATGTTCTGGTAGGCTGCTAAATGTATGAGGAGGGCTATAAAAATCTTCTCCAGTCCTCCAGTCACTAGGTATCAACTCTTCATGGGAGTCCAACCCAACAACCCCCCTGTCCCAGCTGGAGTCTGACCCATCTCTCTCTTCAGAGGGGCCCCTTTCCATTTCCCCACACCAAATCCCATCCCTCCCGACCCCAGGGCTCAGCTGGGTTCTCAGCCAAACCTCAGCACCTTTCCAAGGGGATGACGGCTCCTCCAGGAGCAGCGAGCAGTGCTGGGTTTTTGCGGATGGACCGGAGGGGAGCTGCTCCTCTGCAGAGGGTAGGGAAGCAAAGCGCGGAGCAGGCAGCCTGCAGAGAAATATGCTTACGAAAGACAGACACGCAAACAAGCCGAGCAAGCCCCTCTCGCAGCCTCTGCCCCCCTTCCCTCTGCCTGCGCCCCACTGCAGCGTGGCAGCTCACCCGGGAGGCTGAGGGCTCCCCTCGGTGCTTCCCAGCCCCTGATCCAGGGCTCCCCTCTGCCTGCAGGGCCGGCCCCCCGGCCCATGGCTTTAAGAAAGCTGGCTCTTGGCACAGGCACTGCTGAGCGCTGGCTTGGACCTGCTCCCTCCCCTCTCCTCTCCCTCCCTCTCCCTCCTTGGCTTTGGGCGCCCTCCATTGCAAACCGGCTTGGGTTTCGGTGCCTTTTAACTCTTTCCTAGATAGTGCCTTGTCTTTATGTATTTTGGTTTGCTCTTTTTTCTCTGCCTTCTTGCTTCCAACAGCCTTCCTCTGGTCAGCCACGCAGGCAGCATAGATTGCGGCTCCCTGTGCAAAGGGTGGGCAGGCAGCAGGGCAGTGTCCCACCCTGAGCACCTCAGGATGGGCAAGGCGAGGTGCATCAGTGCCTTCCTTCCGGTGGGATGGTGCATGAATCTGCTCTCCTTTGTATTAGTCTGTTATCCCATGGGCTATGGGTCCCAGCCCTTCATTTGCTGGCCACACTCCCTCCCCAGCTGTGCTTGCCCCACTCGGTCTCCACACTTCATCTTTCATTCTCTCCTGCATTGTTTCTTCTGCACGTCACTGTGGCCTCTTGCCCCAGCATGATGTTCTAGCAGGTTTACGTGCCAACTGGGAGAGGCATCAGTCCTTTCTCTCTCTAGTCATCCCCTCTCCCTGGGCAGAGCCCAAAGCCCTGCGCTCTGGCGTGTGTCATGCCCCGGTCATGTTCCCTGGTTAGATCCCAGCTGCCTGCCAGCAAAGCTGAGAATCTGAAGCAAACCCTGGCCGTGATCTTTGCCCCCAGCCTGGCGCCAAGCTGATGTGCTTATGCTGTTGGGGTAAGCACCATGTGAATGCACCAGTACCTTGGAATGAAGGGCATGCTGCAGAAAGGGATGGACAGGATGGCTTTCCTTACACTGCAGAATCTGTTGGAAGTGGATTTGGGGGATTCTACCCAGCAGCAAAACTGGATTTGCAAGCTTACACCCTAGGGAACATGCACATATTTATCTCTTGGAGGCAGAAGGAAGCTCTCTCCTGCGGGGCCCAGAAGTGCCAAGTCAGCACTGTGCCTCCAGCAGTTTCCAAGAGAAGCTGTTGAAGGCTCCAAGGTTTCTGAGGGGGAAGGATTTTTGTGTGTGTCTACGTGTGCTTGGACTTCTCTTTGCTGTTTTCCTTCTCCCACTTGGTTGGTTTGGGAATGGGAGGCCCCGCTTCCCAGAGAGTGGCTGGCGTTTGGCAGGACCCCAGCACCACTGGAGAAGCAAGCGGAAAACTCTGGGAAAATATGTGCTGCGAGCTGGGGGGAAGGGTGGAACGGGGGCTGGGAAGCCTGGAGATATTCTCAGGCAGCTTGTCAGCCTGGAGCTCAATGAACATGGGCTGAATATGCCTCCCAGCCGGGATGGGAAGAGGACCAAGAAATCCTCTGTTGTGCTCGTGAGTTCTTAGCTGGGCTCCAGCACTGACATTCAGTGAGCCCCACCGCAAGTCTCACACGTCTGCCTGTGCCTCAGTTTCCCCTTGTGGAAAATGAGAGGGGGAAAGGCCAGGGCAATATCTCTTGCTAATGGAGCCTTGCCAGCTGACAGAAGCTGGGTTTTGTGACCCATTGTGTTGTCTGCTCCTGCCTGCTGCTGGTGGGGATTTGGCAGCTGACAGCACTATTGAAAGCCAATAAATTTTCTGGGGTGTGTGAGAGCTCAGACACTGACACTGAAGGCAAAGTTCCTCTCTGTCCCATCAAAGCTACTGCAGTCCCTCACTCCCTTGGGTGTTCCTGCCTGGCTTATTTCCAATCATTATGTTATCCCCTTTTGCAGCCCTTGACCTTATGTCTGCCCTCCTCTGCTTTTCCAAAGGGGAACAGGTAGCAGGGAGGCCAATGTCCTCATTTCCATCCCACATTTCCATCTGCACTCCTGACCTGCTTACAACCAAGCAAATGTTCTCTGTGGAGGACCTCATCAGCTGGGGCCTTCGCCTTTGTCTCATCTGACTGCAAGAACAGCTCACAGTGGGCAGCGAGCAGGACTTTGTAGTTAATGTCTTGTCTAAGCTGAACAGGGACCCACAGGGAGCCAGCAAACAAAGACTTGCCCTGGTGGCACTGCCCAGCTGGGCAGCAGTTATGCCACTAAAGACACTTTTTGCCAGGGTAATATCACCCTGCCCCCTGAAAGGAACTGTCTGTACCAGCAACGTTTTGCCAGGGCAGCCCTATTTGCAGGAGGTCTTGGCTTGTACGGCTGAGTGCTCAAAGATACGAGTTTTGATAATGCTATCCAACTGCTCTGCCAGCCACACTTCTAAGTGTAAAACAAGCCTGAAGGCACCTTGTGCGCTCAACAATCTTCCCTCTTCCTCATCACACACTTGGCCTTGGAGGCAGCCCAGGGAAGCTCTGGCCAGATTGGATTGCAATAATCCCTGCTCAAAAACAGCTGCTTCCTCCTCCTCCTGAATTTCCTCCCTTATCTGCAACCCCCCCAACACAGGCTAAATAGGGGGATACAGCCTGGCTCTCCCCAGTGACTGTCTCCATCCCATCAACCCTCTCTACCTCAGGTACAGAAGGAAGGAAATGACTTTGATGTTTCCTTCCCTGTCCAGCCCCTGTGTACAGCTCAGCTTCCCTGCTGCACACGTGGATCCCCTGCTCTGCTATACATACACACGTACTTGCATCCACCTGCTGACATACACACATTCACACTTCACTGCTCCTCCTTCCCCAGAACCTCCGGAGCAGAGGTACCAACCGCACCAAGAGGCAGAAAAACATCCCCTTCTCTTCCCCTTCCTGGATGCTTCTCCCCTCCAGCTGCTTTCCCTTTCCCCTCTTCCCCAACCCTTTGTCCCTGCTCTCCGAGAGCACCGCAAGCCGGGAGGGGAAGCGGAGGAGCTCTTACCTCCGGTCCCCTCCGGAGGGGTCCCGCGCTGGGTTATCTGTATCCTCAGCTGCTCCTGGCTAGCAGCGCGGGGAGGGAGGGCTGCCGGGGCCCAGCTGACTCCACACAGATGCTTGCCAAGTGCTCTTATGTAATTACTGTCTTCCCCATCCTGCCTCAGCGGCCTTTATGAGTGCCTCCCCTCCTGCTCTGGCCCGTGTCAGGCTTGGCTTTCCCTCCTTCCCTCCCTTCCTTCCACCCACCCCACACAGCATCACACAATTTGCTCAGCTCAACAGCTGATTCCTTCTGGAAGCAAAATTCAGGCTTTTGGCTACTGCCATTGCTACCCTTGGAAAGAGAGCTCACGTGTCGCAAGAGCTGGGAACAGATGCTCTGCGCTCACCTCCTCTCCATTCACTGCCCAACCGCTGCCAGGTACCTTTGCCTTGCCATTCTTTAGTGCAAAGGGGGCACCTGAGACATGGAAATGTGGCAGTGTGTTTTGATGTTCAGTAGTTTGGGGTGCCCATGGGCTACCCTGTAGCAGCAGCTGGCCCTCTGCCATGTCGGCATCACTGATCACGTCTGGCCAGGCTGCGGGGGGAGTTGGGAAGACTAGATGACCTTTAAAGGTCACCCTTCCAACTCAAACCATTCTGTGATTCCATGACAAGACGAATCTTTTCCAGCCTGTGGACTCCATGGCTATGCACAAGGCTTGTGTAACAGCCAGCCCTCATTACCCAGGAGCATCAACACGGTAAGAAGTTATTGGTTTAGGATATTTTATACGTCACTGAGGATGAGCAGGCCTGTTGGATATCAGCTGCGTGGCTACATTTCCTTTTAAACTTCTGCCCGTGCAGGGCTTGGACCAACCGGGAATGACACATTCCCTGGCTGCCAAGTTCAAGGATGCTCGTGCCAGCAGGGATTGCTGCTGTGTGCTGCTTGTCAGCCTGGATTGTCTCACACAGAGATCAAGGGCTGGCAAAGCCACTGCATTTTCCTGCTGTGTGTTGCTGAAATGCCACGTTGCTGAGGAGCATCTGGAGGAGCCCTACACCTGTACTCACTGCTGCAGCAAAGCTGTTGCTAGACTTGGCAGTCTCCAGCACTGAGCATGAAAGCAGGAGCTTGTCTCCCACTTCCTGCTGCCCCCACAGCTTGTCCGAGACACCGCATGTTTGCCAGATGCTGCAGAACAGGGTATCAGAGGCTGGCTGACAAGCCACGTCAGTTGGATGTGCCTTTCAGCTAAGGAGGCATTACTCAGGCTGCCACTTTCCCCACAGGTAGCTTGTCCAGCTCAAGTGTCCCACCTCTTACCACCGAGACAAGAAACGCTGCTGGTATCCACCCCAAAGGCCGGCATGTGATTACAAGCGCTAAGCCTACTGCAACCAGAGAGACTTGTGAGCATCTAGGCCCAGCAGCTTGGTGACATTGCGGCCTGGTTGAGGCAGTTCTTAACAGTAACCTTCAGCCGAGCCTGCTACATTCTGCCTTTCTGGATCTAAATGCCTCCTCCTCCCATCCACTCCTATGTAGACCCAGGAGCTTTGACCCCTGTGCTGTCTTCACACGCTTCTAGCCCTGCTCTGAGCAGTTACCAACAGATCACTTCTGTGGGCATCCCAACTCACACAAGGAGTGTTAAGGAAGGGCGGCAGTGGTTAGGGCAAGAAATATCTTTTTCAGAGGTACCCATGAGCTTTCTCACCAAAGAAACAAGCACTTTGAGGTGAGAGGGGGAAAGGTAGTATTTAGGAGCTCACAGAAACTCTTGGATCTGTGACAGGTTCTTCCCACTAAGGGAACCACCCTGACACTGAGGGAGTTGAAACAGAGTGCTCCCCCCCTTTGTTTGGTAGCACTATCCTGATGGGAAGAGACCTTTTAGCAGGGCCTGTTGCAATAGGATGAGAAGTGATCGTTTTAAACAAGACGAGAGATTCAAGCTGGATGCGAGGAAGAAATTTTTTATACTGAGGGTGGTGAAACACTGCACAGGGTGCCCAGAGAGGTGGTGGATGCTCCATCCCTGGAGACATTCAAGGCCAGGCTGGATGTGGTTCTGGGCAGCCTGGTCTGGTTGAAGATGTCCCTGCTCATTGCAGGGAGTTGGACTAGAATGAGCTTTGAAGGCCCCTTCCAACCCAAACTATTCTATGATTCTATGGTCCTAGAACCAGTCAACAAGGTAAGAGTCCTCCCATGTTCTCTGGCCATTTGACCCAGCTCGAGCATGTTCATTACTCCATCTTCAAAACAGGGCATGTGCACATTTTCTACCCATGCAGAAAAGCTCGATGCATTTCACAGCAACATACCTCTGCTGCAACCATATGATGACTTCCAGTAGCTACAACGCCTCCGAGAGGTTGACAAAGGGTTCTGCATGGATCTCCAGGCGAATATGTGGGAATTGCAAGAAGACAGTGCTGTGGCAGAGGGGTCCCAACGAAAACCCCCACAACACCCCACGCTCCCTCAGCCTCGGGGTGTGCAGGGGTGTTGAGACATCCCCGCCTGGCACAGCCCTGCCTCAAACCCGAATTAAACAGGGAGAAGGGCAGGGGTGTGAGGAGTAGGCGGGCTGCGGCTCCCGGCTCCTCGTCCCCCGCCCGCACAGACTCCAGTTCCCTATCCCGGCTCCCGGCGGCTGCCGACTGCCCCCTGCCGGCCGCGCTGCGCCTGCTCCTGGCTCCCTCGCGGCGCTGCCTCGGTGCCCGCTGCTCGTCCTGCCCACGGGTGGCACCGGTGGCTCAGGCTCCTTCGTCCTCTCTGCAGCCTCCCGCCCAGCACTGCCCCAGCTGAAGCCCACCGAAGGAACAGAGTGATCCGTGCGCGCCCAGGTCGTGAGTCAAGGCGTTCCTACCGTCTTCCCACCCGGCCCCGTTTGTCATGGATAGGACATGCTGCAGCCCAGGCACGTGCCTGCAGTTGGCTGCAGCTGATGTGCTGGGGATGTGTGTGTGTGTGTGTGCATGACGTGGTGTGAGATCTGAGCAAGCCGCCTGCCTTGTGCATGGCGTTTGCATATTTTATGCTTGGGAAGGCAAAGAACACCAAGTTTTCAGGAGCAAATATTTGCATATTTTCCAGTCGTTCGAGCAGATAAAGCATTTCCATTCTCTGTTGAATCCTCAGGAGAGACAGGAACAGCTTCTGTTCGATGGTGTTTCCTGCCTCTCATCTACTGGCTACTCTATTTCCACAACTGGTTAACTGCTTCCTGCCCACTCGCCACACCCGCTTAGCCCATGGTCCTATAAAATAGTTGAAGCAGAACATGGCCTGGACAGGTTTGCTGTTGCCTGAGCTGAGCTGCTGTGTTTCCCTGCTGCCAACAAATACAGCAGCTCCCTAACAACAGCTTCAAATGACATTAAGTGTGGGCTGTGTTACTAACAGCCTGGAAATGCATCCTCACCTCTCCACGCTGGAACCCCTCTCCAGTCACCATTCTCAGCCCTCTCAGTTTCTCTCCTGCAGAGCTCCACTGCAGAGCAAAAGGTTCACTCTGAGTGGGTCTGAAGCTGCTCCAGGCCACTCTTGGGCTGGCAGAAATGTGCGTGGGTGCCCACATATGGTGGGTTCGTCTATGTGGAGGGGTCATTTGCAAGGTCCAGTTGCCATCTCCCAGTTTGAGCCCATATCTGGACTTTGCATATGAAGGAGTATATGCCATGTTCTTGCATTCATGCTTAGGCCAAGATACATGCATGCAATCACCTAAACGCTCATTTGTATGCATGTATACACATCATATACATATGCCTCTCTGTATCTGCTCTTGTTCATCCTGGCACATGAATATGAAACTCTATGAGCAGCTGGCAGAATGGGCTTTCCGCGTTCCTAACACCCCATCTATGATCAAGCATTTGCTGGGAAGAGGCATTGCACAACGCTGCCGAAATCACTGCAGCCCTTTCTAGTCTCTCAGCTCCAATCTCTACGTGATGAGAATGAAACCTTTTGTGCAGCACAGAGCTTGATGGAGCCCTTATCTCCATGCCTCTGCACCCAGAATAGAAAACTCCATTTCCATATCTGACTGGGACAAATCCCCCTCAACACAGCCAGAATTTCACTCAGTCCCTAAGCAGGGTCCCTATGGCCTCTGAGTTTCCTGAGTCAACTAAACCATCGTTAGAAGAGGGAGAGGGATGACGAGGGCAGTTGGTGGTATCACCACAGGAAAAGATGGGGATTCATGAGGAGGAAGGCAAAGCTGAAGAGAGAGGGAGGGGTCAGGAGGCAGCAAGGTACTGCCCACCATTCCAAACATCTGTTCCAATGAAAATCAACCTTTTAATCAATGGTGACAGTTTACAAAATTTTGTAGTGTTCATTTTCTCCTCATGAATTTCAGACAAAAAAAACTCTTTTCTTTTCCCTCCTCCAGTCTTATTTTTGGTTCATTTCCTTTTTATTTTTTTCTCCCGATTTGTCACTGAAAAATAAGACGTGGCATAGGGAGGAGGAGGAAACACAAGACAGAAAAATACGATGCTTGTGACCCTCTCCTTTTAAACTCCTGTTTAAACTAAATACCCCTTATTTTTGCAGGTCTCCCTGGGATACAATTGGTTTTCCTCAGCAGGCTCCCCTGCAGAGCTGCCTTGCTAGTGGGCTCAGACTCCGTGTATCACAATGATGTCTCCTTGGCACACCAGTTTGGTGCTGACATCCCCGTGCTTGGGCTCTTCAGAGATGTAGGTATTTTAAGAAGCCAACCAGTTGGTGGAGTTTCTTGAGTGGTGACTTGCAGCAGATGGAGCTGCAAAGGCGTGCGAAGTGAAGTCTCAGCTCAATTCAGTGGTGAAGGAGAGCAGCTCTGTTAAGCATGTTGGCAACTCCCCCCCCATGGCAGATGGGCAGCCCCTTGGTGGAGAAGGAAACCCTTCCTATATGTGCCCCCCACCCATCTGAGATGCCTCCTGCAAGGTCTTCATTCACTGTCACATGCCTTCTTCAGTGCTTGGTCACCAACCACCAACAGTGCTACATGCTTCCCAGCTACTACCATTTCTCCTCTATCCTACACTGATGGCTGTGCCAATGGTGCCCAGTATTCACCTTGCCCTGCTCCTCACTGCAAGAGAAGCAACACAGCCCTCTACTTAAAGTGCTGTGCTGTCTGTCTATCCAACCCCTTG